CAGGAACATTTGTCTCAGGTTCATGGATTTTAAGGGCAAGGTGTCCACGGAAAGACAGGGTCCCATCTTGTCCCAGGCCAAGTACACACACTCAGATAGCCCTCTGAGCACCAGAACCCATCCCTAGGGAAGGCAAAAGCTCTTAGGTTAGCTATGGAGGGGAAAACCTGAGATCAGCCCTGTGGGAATGGTTTATGGAGTTGGAGCAAGGAAGAGGGGTGCAGAGCAACCTTCACCCCTACCAGTGGGTCTGTGGTACCCTCCAAAAGGGGCAAAGGCAGTGCCTGGTTTCACATCCAAGGGCAGGAGCACTCACCAGTGGTGTCCTCCTGCCAGAAGACGCACAGTGGGGTCACGTTCCTCTGCAATGACAAAACCACAGGCCCTGATCAGGAACCAGCTGTGGGTTTGTTGCTCAGCCAGTACATTTGATAGGGGAGAACATTGGGCAGGAAGAGAGATGGTCTCAGGAGACAAACTAACCCCTGTGATGGGAGTGGGCTCCAGGCAGAAACCACTCTCTTATCAGGTGATAGAGCAGATACCTCCTTCCTTTTCCAAACAAGGGATTCAGTTTTAAGCAGACACCTCACAGGGCCATGAGTAAGCCAAGGGACTGTTAACTCAGAGTATTGCCCAGCCCTGGATACGGTGCTGGACACAACGGCCCAGGTCCTGTATGCTGTGCTGCATCTCCTGGACAGGCACAGGTAATGCTACTACCAGTGCACATGGTGAAGCCATGATCATGATGCAGCCTCAGAAGACACAGCAGGCCCTGCACAGGCAGGCCAATAGTACGGACCTGCTGGATTGTGGTCACTGCCTAAACTGGCAGGCCCTGAGCCCTCCTTGCCCCTCCATTCCCAGTGGGATCAGGTTTGATGAGGCTGTTTCCCCACCTACCGGCAGCTGGCCATGGAAGAAAGTGAGGACCATTGGTTCAGAGAGGTTGGCTACCACCGTGTCCACCATCGAGATGCTGACTACCTTGTCACCCAGGACATGGCTGCTATTTTCATCCTGTTGGAGAAGAAGAGGAGGCAGTTGCAGTGTAGGAAGGGAGAGCTGCCAGGTGTGAAGCAGATGAACATCCCCAAATAGGTCCCATGACTCTTTCTGCAACAAGTTTCTAGCTCACCCTTGAAGCATTTTCTCTGAGCCAGCACCAGCATCCTCATCCGGGCAGCACCCCTGCTGCCCTGCACTGCCAGAGCACCTGGCATGGTGGGACACCCCACCACGTCATGCATGTGGGCATTACCTGGAACATAGTCTGGCTGTCGATGTCCATGAGGAGCACCCTGTGCTCCACCACCTCCTCTCTCTCCTTCACTGTCATGAACAGACTGCCTGGCAGGTCCACCGTGAACCCATGGACCTCTCCACCCTCCTGCAAGGAAAGATTCATCAGGAGAGAGGTTGGGACAGGCTGCAGTGTGCCAAGAGCACTAGAGCAGGCTTTCCGGGACCCACCTCTCTCTGGGAAGCAAAGGCCAGGTGCTGAGGAGCCCGAGTGGGCTGGACCCTCAGGACAGTTGCGTGGACAGTGGCCTTCCCAAAGGTCTGGTTCTGCCCTTCAAGCTCCACCTTGGCCAGTGTCTTCTCCAGCTCCCTGAGTTTGCTGTCGGGGAAGAGGCACGGTGAGCAGGATGCAGTGGGCATGGATCAGTGACAGCAATAATGGTAAGAGCTCAGAACTCACCGCCGGAGTGTCTCCTGCTCCGTGGCTCCCATGGCTGGGGCTGGGGGCTGGGCAATGAGGCCATCCAAGGCAGCGAGCTGCTCCTCCACATCTTGCTCCCAGACAGGCATGGTCTCTGAAGAGGCTGATGGAAAAGAAATGCCATGAAATGCATGGGTGGAACTGGCTTCCTTGTGTCCCAAACCAAGTGGGCATAGCCCTGGTGGAACCAGAAAGCAGAGGGCTTCAAGGTCACCCCAAGCCAGGGAAGCTGATGGTGACTCCAACTCAGAGGGCTTTCATGCTGCCTGGAGCTCAACTCCCAACAAGGCCGTAGGGACCAAGCTGGTGGAGGCTAGCTAAGTGCCTAGCAGAGCAGACAGGACCCTCAGAGACCATTGCAAAGCCCACGATTTCTGAGGGCAAAACACTTTTGAAAATCATCACCTTCATCTTTAGGGATCCCAGATACCAGGCCTGGCTTTGGACTGCTTCAAGCAAACTTACATTCCCTTCTATCATGCTTCAGCTGTCTTCACATCACCAGGCTATATCACACACTAGGAAACTACCAGTGCTCTGCTGATGGCCAGATAACAGGCTGGGGATGAAACAAACTCTTCGTTTCTATTACACATTGAATTGCCTTTACCAGGGAAGAAGTATTCAGCTGCAGCATCAAGGGAAGTGTTCTTCTCGCCCTTTGAGATGTAGGACACATTGAAGATGGACGTGCTGGTTCTTTCAGTCCTCTGACTCTCCTGTCCACGGGTGATGCTGCTGGATGGATCCCCTCCCAGGAGGATGCTCTGCTTCCCGTACACCAGCCGCAGGGTCCTGTTGGCCTTGAACCAGTAGATGCAGAAGCGGTACCTGCCCAAGGTGGGGGGCAAGCTGTACTTGTAGTAAGAGTTTCTCCGGCTTGGCAAAAAGGGCCTTTTTATTATCAGTGCCTGGGCCGTGTTCTCAATGGAGATGGTGGCAGGGCCATGCTCGTAGATGACAGAGCTGTCCTGGGTCTGGTTTCGGTCACCACAGAAGCGGAAATCCTCTTCCTTGTGGCCGCTGGCTCCCATCCCTGAATTGTACAAGTGCACAGAGATGCCAGCTCAGCTGGAGGGACAGCCACCCCCAGCAAACAGCACACCCCTGCAGCAGCCACCATGCACGGCACACCGGGCTCTCCACTCCAGTCATCCCAACCCCATCCTGGATGGGCTGCATGACTTCAGCCACATCCCTGATGTCCCCATAGCCATGCTGGGAGGATCTGCCATGGCCCCTGGGGCAACAGGACCTCCTGTCTTTCAGGGACACCCTCTCACATGTGCCACCACCCAGATCAGCAGAGACTGACAGAGGACCTATACATCCACAGAATGGATGGATGGAGATCATCTTCTTTCCCTGGAAAAGACCCATCCTGCATGAGAGACTCCACCAGAAGCCACAGCTGCAAATGCCCCTTGGTGCCCCCCAGCCAATTTTTTTGGGCTGCCAGTTACTTCCAGCATCCCAAACCTGGCTCATCATTCCAAGGCAGGACACAGTTGGATCAGTCTACCTTGGAGTGGGGAGAGCAGGAGCAGAAGGAGAACCGTCATCCTGGGCAGCTCTCTACTTTGGCTTGGCCTTCAAGGAGACAGCAGAGCCTGGAAGGGTACAAAGGAAAGGGGTCACCTGAGTATTTGGGTATCCTCCATGTCACAGGGCCAGGGATGGAGAGCAAAGACTGTGGGTGGGACACCAGCTGGTGTCACGGCCAGCTCCCCAGTGCCTCTGCCACCAGGAGGAGCCAGGAACACCGGGAATCCCACCTGGCTGCAGGCTGGAAGGATGGTGGAGGCCAGCATCCCCCTCCCCGAGCTCTCTCGGCACAGAGAGGGGGCCCCACTGCCCCAGCACAGGCACCAACCACCAACGATTCTGCATGGGAGGGGTCCCCTCTTCCGCTCCCTGCTCCACATCTCAGCTCAGGCTCTGGCTTCTTATCACAAGTGATAGGAACAGAAGGAAATGGTGGTTTCCTAAATTGCCAGCCCTTGTATTATTTTCTTGGGTGCTGTCAGATTAGCTGAGTAGCCAAGCACATTGCAAACCACTCCATCATTTCAGCCTGGCAGAAACAGGCTCTCCCAGGCACATCCCTGGTGATACCAGTGCAGCAACTGTGGTTCTGCCCCCCTGACCAGCCAGACCACATCCTCTGCAGCCCCTTTGCCCATACCTTCATCCCACACTCTGCTCCATCACACTTTTCTTTGCCTTTACACACAGCCAGGGCTCCTGTGACCTGCACCCAGGCCAGCACCAAACACCCTTGTGTGCTGCTGCACTCCTGTGCTCACCCAACCACAGCCTTTGCACCCACAGCCCTTCTCATAGCTTTTTTTTTGCCTGACCCATGCCACAAACTGCATCTTCAGTGCTGCTCAGAAGCACCAAGCATCACATCCTCCTCACCCTCTTGGTGAGGGTGTCACCTCAATGATGGGACCCACCCTGCCAGGGTCCGGCAACCAGCAGAAGCTCTCCCAGGGTGGGACAGCACCAGTAAGGGCTCCAGCCCAGTCAGACCAGCCAAACACTTGTCAAAGCTTAAAGTGAAGCCATCACTTCATTTGCCACCACTGTACCTCACTCCTGTACCGCTCTCAAACATTCTCTCAAAACCCACCAAGTGGCCACGTCCTGTTTTGTTTGCTGCCAGGGCACCCACCAGTGTCACCTGCAAAGACTCATGAGGTCTCCCAGGCACCCAAGAGTCGTCAGATGGGAAGGTCAGGGAAAAATCACTTCCTTGAAAACTCATTAGCAGATTTCTTCCACCAGCACAGTCTTTGTCTGAAAGTTTCTCCAGCCAGTACAGATCCAGGCCACGTCCTGTGCTGTTGCATCACCATGGCACAGCCCACTCCCCATCCCTCCCCATCTGCTTCTTGCAGCAGTTTATCACCAGAAGATGGGGGCTTCAGGTTGTTAATTAACCTGATGCCATGGCTGTAACTGAGTGGCTCTAACGAGGTTTCCTGGTCTGGGCTGGGAGGGCACAGGCACCACTTGGCAGCAGTAGCTGGATTTGGATGGGGCTGTCATCCCAGTGCCTTGCACACACTTGGGAATCATGCACATACATCCGAAAAACATGGATCTGGGGGTGACAGAATACCGTTGGAGATGGGAAACACCTGGATCCCTTAAAAGCAATGGAGCAGCACATGAATGCCAACCAAGTTGTGGTGGCACAGAGCTGGCATGCCAGGAAAGCAACCCCTCTGGATGGGGAATGCTGAATCCCAACGAGGCTTCAGCCCACCCTGCTATGCTGGCAGCTTTAGCGTTTCATTATGATACTGGGAGGAGAGGATCAGCTCCTTTCAGGCATTACTCAACTGGGACCAGAAATCCCTGTGGGAAAGTGGGTGGGGGGACTGGTATTTCCCCTCCAAGCCCTATATGGTCCTGCTCGCCCCGACGCCAATTGCTGCTTCCTGAGCCAAACAATAGTAAGAGAAAATCCCCTGAAAATGACTTTGTGGCGGGAAAACATGGCCTCCATCCACGCTAGTGATAAGCAATGTTCAATAACGTGAACTCAGCCGGATGCGCTGAGTTCATGTTGGGATCCTGCTTCATCATCTTCCCATTCCCGGATGGCAGTGGGGAAAAATTCCTGGTTTGGCCCCAAAATCAGGCAGATGATGTACAAAGAGGTAGTAGGCACACTGCCAGGGCTACACAGTTCAGAGCAGACTCCCTCCCTGCAGGCAGTGAGGGAGGCTCAGCCCCCATCAACAGGTTGTATCCCCCTACAGCCATTCAAAGTACACGCCAATCTTGGAAAGAAAAGCCAAAGAATTATATTGAGGCCTCTAAACCTGTAGGCAAATGGAGGGAGGGGGGAGACTAAACCCCTACACAAACAAAAAAAAAAAAAGCCTGGTGTTTACTACCACCTTACTGCTCTCTGGATGACTTGGCAGCAGGTATTTAAGCCGTTGGAGTGACACGTGGCTTTTGGATGTGACGTTTTTCCCAAGGAGAAGGGAAGATGCTCTGATGCCTCAAACAAACACCGGAAACAGGGAGATCCAGGGGCTTTTATCCGTTTTCCTTCCAGGACCGTTAGGAAAGTGACGCTCTGTTCCTCGAGATGCTAACGAGTCACCGCTACCTGTTACTCAGGCAGGAACTCAGGAACACGATGAGGAAACTGTGGCACGGAGTGGCAAGCCAGGACCGGCTCCCTGAGACACAGAACAGCTTTGCACAACCAGCGCCCCATCACAGAGCCAACAGACAATGTGCCTGCGGCTGGAGCTGCCCGGGGAGGTGGGATCCTCGGAGGGGTCCCAGTGTCAGACCTCTGGATGCGTCACAAAGTGCCCTTGTGCTTGGCCAGCGGTCCGTGGCCGCAGGGACCAGCCCGCACGTTATTCACGGCATCGGCATGTGATTCCCGTCACCGGTGGGCGGCAGGGCCGACCCGGCGCGTTTGCTGATGCCCGAGAAGCCGAGGGGCAGCCCGGCCGTGCCAAGCCTGTGCCGCGGGATGGAGTGCAGTGCTTCAGCTCTCCCGGCCCGTGGGGTTGCACAGAACAGCCAGCACCCACGAGATGAGCTTTGCCAACAAGACAAAACCAGACCTGATAAAGATTCCCGTGGGAGCAGCACAAGCCCCTGCCAGATTTGTCCTCTGCCAGCAACTGGCAGACATCCCTTCCCACACAGGCGTGGGGAGAACCAAGGGGAGGCTGGCATAGGCGTCTGCCACTGCCTGAGGCTCTTGGGACCTTAAAGCTGGGTCTTCACATTCAAAATTTAAAAAACTTTCCATTTCCTAAAAAACACCACAGACAGAAATATCTCAGTGAACTAAACCAGTGCTTCCTCCAGTGCCAGGGCAACACAGCACGCAGCTCTGTGGCATGCAAAGCCTGTGGCTTCAGCAGCAGTGACACACACTCTTCAAAGGACCAGGTACACCTCTGATAGACTGAGGGCTGCCGTGACACGGGAACGAATTGATGCAGGGTATCCTGCCCCAGCACCCTGTGGCACGTCATCAGGCACAGGGGGTACAGACAGCTGTTCTTTGGCAGGCTCCCACCACTCAGCCTTCTTCAGGAGCATCCCCTAGTCTGCTCCTGCAGATCAGCTCTACCTTCCCTCCACCTAAAGCATCTCCTTGGGTTTTTAAAAGGCTCCCAAAACACCCCATCCCCTCTCTGTTCTTGGTCCCCTCCACATGAGCAAGGTCCTCATTGCCTGTCTGTGCCATGGTTGTCAGGGAAAGGAAGCGCAGGGCAGTGCAGAGGAGTTCAGGACCACCCCAAATCAGGCTTCCAGGCATCTGGCACAGAAAGCAGCTATCCTAGAGCCTGGTGAAGGCAAAGTCTGCAGCACCCAAGGAGCCAGGTAAGAGGCCATGGGCCCCCGGGATTCCTGCCAAACCCCAGCTGTTGGGTGAGCTGATGGGAAAGGAGTTGGCAAGTCAGAGCCCTCCCAGAAAACAGGCGCCGACAGGCTGCACGCAGCTGGTCCCGTGCAGACACTGGCATGCCAGGAGCCACCCACCCTGCAAACCCCACAGCACCGTCCCTGTGACACCCACGGGTGCCACTGCAAGGTGCAGGACTGCCAGGCCTCGAGGTTCCCATTCTGGCAACATGCAGTTGCTTGCAAACCTGTTGCTCTGTGAATAGCAGCCCCCAGGCCGCAGGATTAAGAGCTGGACTGGAATCAAGTATGCATCATTTTTAGTCCTTGGCTTAATTCACATGGGAGCTGCAGAACCAGCAAGGGGCACGACAAACCCTGCTGTGGCTGCAGTCCCAGGCTCAAAGGATTTGCCCTTCCCCCCCCCCATCTCTGAAACACTCCTGGCTCCCTGCTGGTGGTAGAGCTTGGAGGGGGGCTACTGCAGCCCTCAGACCATGAAATGGGCTTTGGCTGCCTTCCCTCCTCAACAGCCATTCAGACTTGTTGCCAGGAGGTTATTCCAGGAGACTTCATTTCAATTCTCCAGCTGGCCTCGCTGGGTATTGCTGGTCCCTCTGGAGGGGCAGCTCAGACAGTAGGCAGGGAGCACCCCGAGCATCCCGAATCCCATATCCCGCAGCGGCATGCCAGGACCGGCAGCAGCAAGCTGGGATGTTGCAGCAGGAACCCCCCAACAGGTATTTTAGGAGACGGAGATCACCCTGTCGA